CCTTTGCTCTTCTCGACCTTAGAGATCCTACAGTGACCCAGCGCATAGGATCGAGTCCCCTTTTGCCTTCGCGAGGCTTTAGAGATCCTACAGTGACCCAGCGCATAGGATCGAGTCCCTTTTGCCCTTCGCAGGCCTTAGAGATCCTACAGTGACAAGCGCATAGGATCGAGTCCCTTTTGCCCTTCGCGAGGCCTTAGAGATCCTACAGTGACCAGCGCATAGGATCGTCCCTTTTGCCCTTCTCGAGGCCTTAGAGATCCAGTGACCCAGCGCATAGGATCGAGTCCCTTTTGCCTTCGCGGGCTTAGAGATCCTACAGTGACCCAGCGCATAGGATCGAGTCCTTTTGCCCTTCTCGAGGCCTTAGAGATCCTACAGTGACCAGCGCATAGGATCGAGTCCCTTTGCCCTTCGCGAGGCCTTGAGATCCTACAGTGACCCAGCGCATAGGATCGAGTCCTTTTGCCCTTCGCGATTAGAGATCTACAGTGACCCAGCGCATAGGACGAGTCCCTTTTCCCTTCGCCCTTAGAGATCCTACAGTGACAGCGCATAGGATCCCCTTTTGCCTTCGCGGAGCCTTAGAGATCCTACAGTGACCAGCGCATAGGATCGAGTCCCTTTTGCCCTTCGCGAGGCCTAGGAGATCCTACAGCCCAGCGCATAGGATCGAGTCCCTTTTGCCTTCTCGAGGCCTAAAGAGATCCTACAGTGACCAGCGCATAGGATCGAGTCCCTTGCCCTCGCGAGCCCTAGAGATCCTACAGTGACCGGCGCATAGGATCGAGTCCCTTGCCCTCGCGAGGCCTTAGGATCCTACAGTGACCCAGCGCATAGGATCGAGTCCCTTTTGCCCTTCGCGAGGCCTTAGAGATCCTACAGTGATCCAGCGCATAGGATCGAGTCCCTTTTGCCCTTCGCGAGACCTTAGAGATCCTACAGTGACCAGCGCATAGGATCGAGTCCCTTTGGCCCTTCTCGAGGCCTTAGAGATCCTACAGTGACCCAGCGCATAGGATCGAGTCCTCTTGCCCTTCGCGAGGCTTTAGAGATCCTACAGTGACCCAGCGCATAGGATCGAGTCCCTTTTGCCCTTCGCGAGGCCCTTTGGAGATCCTACAGTGACCAGCGCATAGGATCGAGTCCCTTTGCCCTTCTCGAGGCCCTAAGATCCTACAGTGACCCAGCGCATAGGATCGAGTCCTTTTGCTTCTCGAGGGCCATGGAGATCTACAACGACCCAGCGCATAGGATCGAGTCCCTTTTGCCTTCTCGAGGCCTTAGAGATCCTACAGTGACCCAGCGCATAGGATCGAGTCCCTTTTGCCCTTCTCGTGAGGCCTTAGAGATACACAGTGACCCAGCGCATAGGATCGTCCCCTTTGCTCTCTCGAAGCCTTAGAGATCCTACAGTGACCCGGCGCATAGGATCGAGTCCCTTTTGCTTTCGCCCTTGGAGATCCTACGTGACCAGCGCATAGGATCGAGTCGAGGCTAGAGTCCTACAGTGACCCAGCGCATAGGATCGAGTCCCTTTTGCCCTTCTCGAGGCCTTAGAGATCCTACAGTGACCCAGCGCATAGGATCGAGTCCCTTTTGCCCTTCTCGAGGCCTTAGAGATCCTACAGTGACCCAGCGCATAGGATCGAGTCCCTTTTCCCTTCGCGAGGCCTTAGAGATCCTACAGTGACCCAGCGCATAGGATCGAGTCCCTTTGCCTTCGCGAGCTTGGAGATCCACAGTGACCGCGCATAGGATCGAGTCCCTTTTGCCCTTCGAGGCCTTAGAGATCCTACAGTGACCCAGCGCATAGGATCGAGTCCCTTTTGCCCTTCGCGAGGCCTTAGATCCTACAGTGACCCAGCGCATAGGATCGAGTCCCTACCTTAGAGATCCTACAGTGACCCAGCGCATAGGTCGAGTCCCTTTTGCCCTTCGCGAGGCCTTAGAGATCCTACAGTGACCCAGCGCATAGGATCGAGTCCCTTTTGCCCTTCGCGAGGCCTTGGAGATCCTACAGTGACCCAGCGCATAGGATCGAGTCCCTTTTGCCCTTCTCGAGTCCCTAAAGATCCTACAGTGACCCAGCGCATAGGATCGAGTCCCTTTTGCCCTTCTCGAGGCCTTGGAGATCCTACAGTGACCCAGCGCATAGGATCGAGTCCCTTTTGCCCTTCTCGAGGCCTTAAAGATCCTACAGTGACCCAGCGCATAGGATCGAGTCCCTTTTGCCCTTCTCGAGGCCTTAGAGATCCTACAGTGACCCAGCGCATAGGATTCCCCTAAGGCCTAGAGATCCTACAGTGACCCAGCGCATAGGATCGAGTCCCTTTTGCCCTTCTCGAGGCCTTGGAGATCCTACAGTGACCCAGCGCATAGGATCGAGTCCCTTTGCCCTTCTCGAGGCCTAGAGATCCTACAGTGACCCAGCGCATAGGATCGAGTCCCTTTTGCCCTTCGCGAGTCCCTAGAGATCCTACAGTGACCCAGCGCATAGGATCGAGTCCCTTTTGCCCTTCTCGAGGCCTTGGAGATCCTACAGTGACCCAGCGCATAGGATCGAGTCCCTTTTGCCCTTCGCGAGGCCTTAGAGATCCTACAGTGACCCAGCGCATAGGATCGAGTCCCTTTGCCCTTCGCGAGGCCCTTCCTACAGTGACCCAGCGCATAGGATCGAGTCCCTTTGCCCTTCGCGAGGCCTTAGAGATCCTACAGTGACCCAGCGCATAGGATCGAGTCCCTTTTGCCCTTCGCGAGGATCCTACAGTGACCAGCGCATAGGATCGAGTCCCTTTTGCCCTTCGCGAGGCCCTAGAGATCCTACAGTGACCCAGCGCATAGGATCGACCCTTTTGCCCTTCGCGAGGCCTTAGAGATCCTACAGTGACCCAGCGCATAGGATCGAGTCCCTTTTGCCCTTCGCGAGGCCTTAGTCCTACAGTGACCAGCGCTAGGATCGAGTCCCTTTTTGCCCTTCGCGAGGCCTGGAGATCCTACAGTGACCAGCGCGCATAGGATCGAGTCCCTTTTGCCTTCTCGAGGCCTAAAGATCCTACCAGTGACCGCGCCATAGCGAGTCCCTTAGAGATCCTACAGTGACCCAGCGCATAGGATCGAGTCCCTTTTGCCCTTCCTTTCCAGAGGAGACACGGGTCGTTTGAATAAGCTCTGAACCCCATATAAAGTCCCTTTCTTGGAATCCCTGAGGTCGTTACAGTCGGAAATAGGTGGTCGTTGCAGGGTGGTCGTATTAAAGGGACATTCTTTACGATTACGCCGGCCGACGGGATCTTGTTTTTGGGGGTGAATTTCGGGAATTGTAATCGGGGTCTTTCTTTGCCCCTTCGTCTTCTTGTTCTCGTTGATGTCGTTGTTGCTGGTTTTGTTTTCATTCTTCTTCTTCTTCTTCTTGGTCTTGTTATCCTTTTTTTCGTTTTGTTATTATTTATCTTCTTCACCTTTTCTTTTTTTTCCGCTTGTCTTCCTTTTTTTCTTCTTTGTCTTTTCCTTCTACTCTTTTTCTTCTTTTTCTTTTCCTTCTTCTTATCAGTAGTATTATGATTATCAGTTTCCTTCTTATAGTTACTTATCTTCTCCTCCTTCATCTTCTTAATCTCCTTTTCTTCTTCTCCTCCTCCTTCTTCTCTTCTACTTTTACTTCTCTTTTTCTTTTCTTCTCTTCTCTTCTTCTCTTCTCTTTTTCTCTTTCCTCTTCTCCTTTTCTCCTCCTTTCCTTCTCTCCTCTCTTTTTCTTCTTCTTTTATAAACAACATCCCTCGGCAAATTCTTTCTTCAAGAACAGCAATCATTCTTTTATTTCCTCATTCATATCACAAGACACGCATTCAAAGTCTCTGAAAACCACAATTGTTATATTCACGACGCGGTCTCTATCAAGTAACATATCCTCAAGGAACATGATGGTCGTTATAACCTTAGCTATAACGACTGTGTAACGACCATGAACTACGACCTCTTGTTGCCTTACGGTTGTTTGGTATTTATTGCTCTTTTGGTATTGAATTATATCATGTCTTGATTATTCTTAAGGCTATGAATGCTTTGTTGATTCAGGAAGGAATCTCTTAAGAGGGGGAGTGATTGAAGTGTATCTAGCTGGGTGGATTTGTTGAATTGAGGAATGAGCCGTAATAGGAAAATCGGTGGAGGCGGCTCATCCATGACGGCGGCCCTATGTAGAAATGGGAAGAAAGCTGAGAAGAAGAGGAAGGAGAAGGAGAAGATGAAGAAGGAAAAGAAGATGAATAACACTAATAACAACAATAATAATAATGATTGTATTAGTAATAATGATAATAACGATAATGATATTGGTACTACTACTACTATTTGTAGTAGTAATAATAATGATAGTTATAATAACAATAATGATATTACTATTACTACTACTAGTAGTAGTAATAATAATGATAACAATGATGATCATAATTATATTACTACTGCTACTACTACCACTACTACTACTAATAAGGAGGAGGAGGAGATGAATAGGAACAAAAGAAAAGAAAAGGAGAAAAAAAAAGATAAAAAAGTAATGATAATAAAATGATAAAAAGACATGGAGCGGCAGAGTACGGTAGGATATAAGAGCGATGATAAAGGGTTAGGGAAGACGAAGGGGAAATGAAGACGTGGGATGAAGAGAGGAGGGGAAGAAGGGTAAATGAAGCAGCGGGAAATAAAGAGGGTGGAATGGCAAGGGTGAGAGATGCGATTGTCATACACGAGCCCGCTGATGGACACGGGAGGGGGCTTCGTTCGGGGCCAAAAATGGGCGAGAGAATCATAATGAAAAATGAAAATGAAGGCGAAGGCTGTGTCGATCATCGGGAATGGGTGTCGGGGCGATCGCGGGAATGGCCAAGGACGCTGATGCATGGGGAGGATGCGTCGGGGATGCGCGGTGGCAGGAAGAGGAGGAGGAGGGTAATGGGCGTGGTTTGATGTTTGTTTTTGTTCTGATGTGGGTGGCAGAGGGAGTGGGCGTTGGCGACCTACCGAGAAATCCGCCGCCGCGGAGGAGACGTGCAGGTCGAGGGCGTCGTGAGTGGTGTGGGCGCGGCGGGGCGGGCTGTGGGCGCGCAGGGCCTCACGCCCCCAGCCTGAGCAGGGCGGCGGCGCGACCATCGGGGCGGCCCGCCCGCACCGCGCGTCCGGGCACATGCAGGAGGGCGGGGGCAGGGGCAGGGGCGGCCCCGCCAGGCTGCAGGACACGCACTCGCCCCCCCGGCCGCCCAGGCCCCCCAGCCCCCGCCGGAGGTGACGACGCTGGGGTAGACGTGCGCCGCGAACGAGCGCCGGAGGCCCGGGTAGTCGTCCTCGGGGCACAGGTCGGGCTGGCACTCGCGGCAGCCGTCGCCGCACGCGTCGTCGGCGAGCGGGGGCGCCGGCCGCAGCGACGCCAGCGGCGGCGGGCAGCACGGCAGGTGGTGCGTGGGCGGCGGCTGCGGCAGGTGGTGCGCGTCCGACGCCGAGCGCATGCGGCGCGGGAGGGTGTGGCTGATCACGTCGAGGCCCACCACGGCGCCGCTCCTCATGCTGCCCGCACGCCCGCGCCCGCTCATCGCCTCTATCATCACTCGCGGGCGCCGCGCATCACGCAGTCGCGGCTCGAGTTGCTTCCCGCCTACGAAGCGCTCCGCCGCGCGCACATGGCGGGCGGGCGAGGGCGGCCGGCTGCGCCTCGGGTCGCGGGCGGCGCCGCCAAGGCTTCCTCTCGGTCGCTGTGGGCGCGGGTTGCCACGGGGGCGCGGGCGGCGACTCTTGGCTACTTCGACACTTCCTACGAATCAGAATTTCAAAATTTTATAAAACAAAATATCTAAAAAATGCACTTTACTTTTTATTTACTTTGACACGAATCTTCATAAACAACACATCCAAAACCACAAGCTTATCTTTCGAACAAACAACAAAATAATTTTCCTACACCGTATATTACTGAACCAAGTTCTATTGCTTTTACTAATATATTTTTCTTCTTATCCTTTCTTTTTTTTCTCTCTTTTATCGGAAGGAAACTAACCGGAGATCAGGTTCTGGCTCCACTCCTACCACAACCTGGAAAAAGAAAGAAAAAATGCTTTATTAATTTACATAAGAGAATGTATGATTAATTTATATTTACATTATGTATATCAAGTAAAATGCACGGCGAAAATGCGATGTGATGAACGTCTGAAAATATGACACTAATGTTTTGCTGTTAAGGAAAGATATTAGCATATATACGGTAGGCTTTGTCGCTGTGTATGCTTGTGTGTGTGTGTGCGTGTGTGTGCGCGTGTGTGTTTAGGTTTGTGTGTGTCTGCGTGTGTGTTTAGGTTTGTGTGTGCGTGTGTTTGTGTTTCTGTGCGTGCGTGTGTGTTTATGTTTGTGTGTGCGTGTTTATGTGTGTGTGTGTGTTTATGTTTGTGCGTGTTTATGTTGTGTTGTGTGTGTGCGTGCGTGTGTGTTTATATTTGTGTGTGTGTGTTTATATGTGTGTGTGTGTGTGTATGTGTGTGTGCGTGCGTGTGTGTTTATATTTGTTTGTGACTCTGTTTCCGTGTGTATACTCGCGTCTTTCCCAATCTGAATCCTTCTTTCCTTCTGCATTTCATCTCCAAAGAAACAAACGCAGGACCTTATTCCACCATCAAACAACATGAGACAGTAAGAAGAGCACTGCTATTCAAATGGAAATCTTTACTTAATCTAATGAAGATGGAACGTTGACATGCATGAGGAGTGATTTAGCGACGGCCCGACGGAGAACCAACTTGCCTGAGCAGCCATGAATGCAGATTCAATATGCTCAGAAACGAATTCAGGTCTACATGCAGATATACATGTACTTATGCATGTATAATAAGTAGGTATGTAAACGTATATATCTATACGTTTACATACATAGACACGTGTCATATGTGTGTATGTGTGTGTGTGTGTGTGTGTGTGTGTGTGTGTTTGTGTGTGTGTGTGTATTTTCACACACAAACTCTAAAATCTGAGCTTTATCTACCATTCTCTCTCTCTCTCTCGCTCTCTTCCTTTTCTCTTCCTCCCATCATCTCATCCTACCTCCATCCCTCCCTCCTTTCTCCTACCCCCTCTCTCTCCTCTCATCCCTCCTCCTCCCTCTTTCCTCTCTCCCTCCTCCTCCCTCTCTCTCGACCACAAAGGAAATCCACTGCATTGTGCATATCCCGGGCGCAGCGTGAGTGCGTTCCCGCGATCACGAGAGTTCGCCCTCCAGAACACATTCTAGCGTCAGTGCCAGTGCCAAAATCTCTGGCACTCAAGAACACTCAGTGATACCATCTGCGAGTGCAGCCTTGACGAGATTCTGCGGTAGAGGGTTTTGTGTTATGCATTTGTTTCTTCTTTTTTTTTTTTTTTTTCGTCGTTTCGTCATCGTCTCGTCTTCTCCCCTTCTTTTTCTTTTTCTTCTTCTTTTTTTTCTTCCCCTTAAATTTCTTCTTTTCTTTCTTTTTCTTTCTTTTCCTTTTCTTCCTCTTCCCCTTCATCCTCTTCTTCGTCTTCATATTCCTTTTCTTCTTTCATATATGTTTGTTGATTTGCATTATGTAATCTTTTTATTTGGATATTTTTTGCATATACATTGAGATGTGCATATCGTTCTTCTCCTTTCTCTCTCTCTCTGTCTCCCTCTCTCTTCTCTCTCTCTCTCCTCTCTCTCTCTCTCTCTCTCTCTCTCTCTCTCTCTCTCTTCCTCCTCTCTCTCTCTCCTCTCTCTCTCTCTCCCTCTCCCTCTCCCTCTCTCTCTCCCTCTCTCCCTCTCTCCCTCTCTCTCTCCTCTCTCCCTCCTCCCTCCCTCCCTCCCTCCCTCTCTCTCTTTCTCCCTTTCTCCTTCCTCCCTCTCTCCTTCCCTCCCTCTCTCCTTCCCTCCCTCTCCCTCCCTCCCTCTCTTCTTCTTTTCCTTCCTTTTTTCCTCTCTTTCTTCCCTATTCCCTTCCAAGCACGCATCCTCCCAAGGCCTTTGTCTTCCCTGCCCTTCTCTCATGATCACGAATTTGCATACAAAGCAATCAGTAACCTCCGTATCCAGCAAGATAGAAGAGAAAGGGGAAGAGCAGACGAAAGGGGAAGTAAAGAAAAGGAGTAAAGGTATAAACGCGGAAATGCGATAGAGGCGAGAGAGGAGACCCCTCGGGCCTTGTTGTGAATGGTGAACTGATTTCACGAAGTGAGAGAGGAGAGGATGAGTTATTCTGACGTGCGAGGATGCGATAGGTTTTGTTTCATAGCAAGCGGGAAGAGATAAGCGCCGTCCGGTTATATGACGTTCATCAAACGCAGTGAGAGGGTAGTGTGGGATGAATCTCGTGCCCTCGCAACCCAGAAACAACAAACAGCCGTTTTCATTATACCAGCAGAAGGGATAAAGCACGTGCAGAAGCATTAACGGTGGATGGCGTTTTTGTTCTCTTGTTTCGCTTGCACGGTCTCTTAATTTCCTTTCTGCTCTCTCCCCTCTCCCAGTCGTCTGATGTCTTCCTTCAAAGCGACTCTTCTCTCCTCTCTCTCTCTAGTTCTTGATGCTATTCTTATCTAATCTTCTTCTTATCTATTCTTATTCTTCCTTATCCTTATCTTTATCCTACTTACTTATTCAATCTCTTTCTTGTAGTTTTCCCCTCTCTTTCTCCTTCCCTTAATTTTAATCTATTTTCGCTCTCTCAGGAGTATTCCAGTTTGAGGGCGGATTCATTAAGTAATTACTTCTGATATCCCAACCCGACTCCGAATGAGACAAACGGTCGATAATTTTTTCATCTGCCACTCCTTATTCATCTTTTTTGTTTTTGTCTCATCCTTTCTTTCTACTCCGTATTCCCTCCTCATTCAAATCCCACGCCTCTGACGGTGCCGTCCCCTCTCTACGGCTATCCCCTAGTCTAATTCATCAGTATCATACCTATATTACTCTTAATGATCTCACTTTAATTTTTTTTATTATTTTATTAGCTATGGGTATTATTGTAGAAGTGATAGGTATATATTATACAGTGTATACTGTTTTTTTTAATTTTTTTTTTTTATTTTTAATTTAGATAAGCGTGATCAGTAGTAATGTCCCGAGAGAAAGTGTACAGCTCAAAAAAATTAGGCTATGGCATTGGATCTCTTCTCCATTCATCTATTCCTAATCTTTTCCTCCATTTTCTCCTCCATCTTTTCTCTCTTTCTCTACCTCCATACTCTCTCTCTATAATTATCCACCTATCTAGCTTATATTTTTCGTTCTATTCTCTCACATTTACTTTCTTACTCTGCTCCCCTCTCCCTCTTTGAATGATCATAACCCACGTGCCGGTTTGCTGAAAGGATGAACAACTTCAGATACTCAGGAATTCTTTCTGCACAGGAATTCCACGAATTTTTCATTCTCTTTCACTTTCATTCTTCATCCTTTTTGCGTCCCCTCTTTTCCTTCATCCCTCTAACCTCTCTCGTAACTCTATCTCATATCTCTCCTCTGTTTTCTCTCTTTACTTCCTTTCCCCCATCTCTCTCTCTCTCTCTCTCTTCTCTCTCTTCTTCTCTCTCTCTCTCTTCTCTCATCTCTTCTCTCTTCTCTCTCTCTCTCTATCTCTCTCTCGCCTCTCGCTTCTCTTCATCCTCCGTTCCTCTCTCTCTACTATTCTCTTTCTCTTCTCTTCCTCTCTCTCTCTCTCTCAGCTCACATAAACGCGTATGCACACCAATACAACGTTCCTTTTTTAAATCCTATCTCTGGATCTACTTCTCTAACTAGATGGACTGATTTGCCCTCGTTTAGAATGCCGTTTTTAATCCTTTCGTGACTTACTGCAAGGGTGCTTTTGGAACTTCCAGTAGATGAGATCTTGACGTTTAAACAGATGACACTTATACTGTGCGTAGTTCTCAGTAAAGATATTTTTGATGACATCACTGCCATATCCCTTTCTTAAGGTCGTTACTGCCGAGACTGTTTGTCGTCTCCAACTGCTCTTCGACCCCCCCTCCCTTCGTTTGTTTCGTAATTAATAATTTACCAATGATGTTACTATGTCAAAGTCTTTACGCTGGGAACAAATTAGATGTGGTGCAGAAGTCACAAATATAACCAAAATCTCAGTTATCAAGAAGCCATAAAGGTAATCTCTGATCTTGTACTGTTATTTTAGCCCATATGCACACACAAACCACATCACACACTACACACATAGCGACAACACGACAACTACCTACCACTACACATACCACACAACACACTATCAAAAGTACACACGTCGCACGGCATACAGCGCACATACGCATCAAGCGCGTGTCAATCAACACGATGGTTAAGAGCACGAAATATGCAAAAAGGTTATTTCTGTCATATACAAGAGCGCAACCAAACACTTTATGCATACCGCTCCATGGATATATTATAGTTGCTCTGACGGATACCATTCTCACAGCACCTGTTCAAAAATTGATCATAAGAAGCCACCTGTAAAAACTTTTAAGAGCACTGACTTGTGTTGAAGGACCAAATCTTGTGACCTCCATTTAATCTGGTTTAAAGTATTAACGGGGAAGGCATTAGAGTGTGGAACCCGCAGTCACAGAAGGAAATAAATGACTAGTGGGAAAATATCTAGAGTATCCATCTCAGTCCATTATTCAAAGGCCTCCAGAGTACCTCAGAATTGTACATCTGGTAGTGGATACAAATAACGATCATTATTTTACCTCACAGAAAGATTGGCGCGTTTCTTTTGAAAGTCAATATCAGTCGGTAGTGAGGCTGCCCTTGACCCGCAACGAGAAGTGCACCTTAAACATATATCAACTCAGAAGATTCGATTAAATGGAAGTAGCAGATTCAGTGGCCCCTCACGGCTGGTGAGTCTTCTACCCGCACAATTTCTAACCAAGAAACCCCGTGGGTGTACACTTGCCTACATACAGTCCGAGCCCGAATAATTGAACAGGGTGGCAGCGGTGGCGATTTCGACTATTAATAAGTTAACATAATAGGAGCTACACTTGATTCATACACTTCTGCAGGATACTTTGGAAAACTGTGATATATCTCCTCAGAG